TTCACATCAAGTGGGGTCCATGGTTGGAAAGAGACACAAAAAATGTGTAATTTGACACAAAGAATGTATTTTTTTTGTAGAAAAATGGTTACCAAACGTAGGCATAGTGTTCAACATGGTTTACAGTGAACATAACCAACATGTCTTTTTTTTCTATACTAGGTTTTTGTACGTTTTGCTACATCAAAAGTTTGTGCACTTTAGGTATCCGATCATATCGATCATGGTTTCTTGACTCGGAGCAGTTCTTATTTATCAAGAAACAAAGTTTTGACAAGTTATTACTTCGTTTAAAATTCATCTTAGTGCATGTTTGGCTAAAATTATAATCTCTTAATAATTTGAAGTCGAAGTCTAATATTAATTTTAATAACATATTCACATCTACTATTCACACATTTAGTAGGACCTATTGTTCTTTATTATAATTTATCCCAAACAAGTAATACTAATTGGTTATAGGACGTCCTGAAAAAACAAAAATTCGCAATGCGTGTAACTCAAGAGCCAGTTTGCAGTTATGAGGTCCTCTGTGAATAGGGGTGGGCGTGAATCGTATTGGATATTGGTGAGAATTAAGTCCTTGTTGTCATTCATTCTTTAAAATTCTTTTTTTCTCAAACTTATTTTCAACCACATATTCACGTAATAAAATATTCTGCACGTAGACTCAAAACCTTTTTCCTGCTTTTTAACAATACATTCTTAAAAAATTGACTATTTTAAAACTCATTTTTCCCTATTAATGACTACAAAACGGACGATAAAGGTTTTCACGTGAACTGATGGAACCAAATTGGACCACTTCGGATGGGAAAAAAAAACCACTCAATCCCGAAGATCCGAAGCCTGTAGCCATTCGTCCTTCATGCTTTCTTCACCATTTAAGTCATGGTTATGTCTCGACAGCATCTTTCTCCTATCAATTTTAAATCTTCCAAGAATCTCACACACACAGACACTATCTACTCTCTACATTCTTTAGTGGCCCAGCTGTACCAAAACATACGGTCCAGAAGAAGAACAAAATATAAAAGGAAACTTTTTAAGAAAATAAATGCGTGAATTGGGAAAATATCAAAGGAAACGAAGATAAAAAGATTTAGAAGTAATGTTATCTATCATTATTAGTGTCCGCCTCAACATGGAGAGGATTTCCCTGAAATAAATATAGGCGTGTCAGGAAACAATATGAAGTCACCCCTATTTCATTGTCCAGGGAGCTTTGAAGAGGGATCAAATCCAATCAAAAAAGGAGTTTTCTTTTAGGAAAACGATTAAGAAACATAAGGATCAAAATGCAAGTACAATGAAAATCTCGGAGTTAAGGAAAATTATCACATCCATTTTGGGAGAAAATCTGTGCAATCGAAGTGAGCCCAGGAGGCAAGTGACATGCCCACGCTACTAATTGAGTGCCGGCATGTAACTGTGCTATCAGTAATAAAGTAATCGACGCCTTTCGAAACACTTTCTAGTTAGTGCTTTAATTTGATTGCAGCTAGCATGCTTGACTAATCAAAGAGAAAGGGTCACTTGTTTAGTAAAGTCATGCGAAAACCATCTTGATCTGATCTTATTCGGCACGAACATGCACAAAGAAGTCAATCGAAATAGAGTGACAGACCGAAACTCTTTCAAGCTAACCTTGGTACGCTTCTTCATTAAACAAAAGTGAGGTATTCATAGACCAGCCTTCACAAAAAAGGATGAATGGGTTCAAGTTTAAATTATATATTTATATCCAACATTTTCAAGTCTATTGGATTCCTACTTTTTCTTTCTATGGAAGTGGTGTTTGGATGCGTGGTTGTGGAGGTAGTTTTTTGGTGTGGCTGTGGTTATGACGATGGTTGTTGTGGTGGTTTTGCGACGATTTTGGCGGTTTTTGTGGTGGTG